CAAAACAAACAAACAAAAACAACAACAGAAGGGAGTCATGGTGTAGCTATGAGCAGAAAAACAAGTCTTTAAAACAACAGGATTTACAATAACGTTTTTCAAAAGTGTCCAACAACCTGATCGGACTGATGTGGAAAACATGTCAGGGTCTTAGAAAGTTAATTTTTATAAAAAAGCAAAAAGCACCTTGGCAGTAGAGACCCCCCCCCCCAGTAAATATGTAAATATGAGTTTGTCTTCTATAAATCATACAAATATGACCTGATATCGTTATGTGTGCACCTACATCTACGTAATTATTCTGTGTAATGAAACATTTTCATGATTAAACTTAGTTCATGTAAAACTTCAATATCTCACAAATGTTATTGTTTTAAAGAGGGCATAGTATCCCCCTCTTCCAACTTTTCAAACAGTCCCCTGTGGTCTAAATGAAACATCTGTGCTGTGCTTTGGTCAAAATATAACATGAATGAAGCACCAGAGGAGGTTTGTGACCCTGTATAAATCAGCTCTCTAAGAATGCTCTGTTTTGGTGTGTGTGTCTCTTTAAATGCAATTATTCAAGAAGAGTAATGCACATATACAGTCAGGTAAACAAAAAACAATAATACAATGTAAATCAAGTAGGGGAGACACATTTGAAAGGTAGCATTTTTCTCTGTGTTGTAAGACCATGAACAAAGGACTGGATGGATTTATTCCACAATTTGTGGTTCGGTAGACACTCAGGTTACCCAAATATATGTTCAGAAACACTGTACAAGGGATTTTTCATAATATGTCCCCTTTAAGAGATTGTGATCAAGTATAACACATTAAAGTCTCACCATTTGGTCACATTCAGCATAAACATTTTGTAACGGAACCAGATGCAGAACAAACTGACAGAACTCCCCCATTTTTAGTTAACCCCTGGATCAAAGAACTGCTAAGAGCTCAACAACATCCTATAGGTTAACACTGACTAGGAACCAGGACATCTCCTTTGACTTGTGTTTACGTTAGACTTTGAATTACAGTTGACTTCTCAGACATTTCGTCTCCGAATAAACAACAAACACTTCCACAGATAACTCGCATCCTTGGAAGGAGCCTCATGCTGAGGTCTGAGGATCGTCCAAGCATCATAAAACATCAAGATACTTTGTGGTTTTCTCAAATTGAAAGATCTCATTTTGTGCATTAAATTAAAGTCCTTTTAATTTCTGTTTTACATATATATGTTCGTAAGGTTAAAAGTGACAGTTTAATTCAATTTATATTTTTATACGCTCAGAACTAAAGTTAAGTAAAACCAGTTTATCGTCTTAGACACATAAGACTTTTAAAGATATATTTAGACTATATATAATCATATTGCATGTTATCATATATAAAGGGTAACATAAGCATATTATCTTTCTATGTTTTCATATAACATTGATCTATGATGTGATTTATTTGTGGACTGTTTAATATCGTTTTGCCTTAATTTACAGCTTGAAAAGAATAATGTTAGTTGATTTGATGACCCGATAACTGCTGTTGTAGTATCTTGTGTTGTTTTTGGAAGAATAAATGACTAAAACATCTTGGATCTGGAAGTCATTTATAACGACAGCACGTCACAGCTTCACTCCTGTGTTTAGTCCCTCGAGGCACTCTTTCTTTGACAACCTGCAAAGGCCGATAAAGGCCGATATAGATATAACATAAGTAAGTATAATATTAGGCCCATGACTCCCAATTCAAAAGTGTCACAATTGTTCATCATATCATCTATTTAAATCCAGATTATAGTAATTGTGAACTCCAGAAGGTTCCAGTGACTTCCTCCTTTTGTGTTGGAAAAGCCAAGTCCTTCCATTGACATAGTGTCCGAGTTTATCTAACCTCAGAGATTTCAACACATAAATAGAAGGAGGGCCCTTATATCCACTTCATCATTATGCCTTTCCTTGCTAGCACTAAACTGGATCACATCCTTGTGTTTTTATTCAGAGATACAGTGACCTTTCCAAGCAGACAAAGAAGTGGGTTTCCTGACACCAAGCTGACCTGTTGCTTTGCTAACACTAGAGCATACAGCCTTTCAAAACATGTGAGTTTTTCTGCATTCCCACAAACAATGCAGCCTGGTGTGTAGCCTACATGGCTGAGTTCAGTCAAATGTAACTGTGTTTTAAATAAATACATTATACATCTTTAATATTTCATTATTTAGAATAGCAGAAAGAGAAATTGAAACAAAAGTCAGGAAGTCTGAGCCCAAATAGTTTATTAGAGCTTCTTGTTGTATTTCCATTTAAACAACAGTGACACCTGCTGGCCAGAGGCTGCAACTGCAGCGTGAGTTTATTCAGAAGGCACATTAAATAAAAAGGAATTCAAACATGATAGAATGCTCAAATAAAAAAAGGACAAGCAACAAAAAAAGATGAAATAAGGTTATTATAACCGATTAATTTCGTCACATTTTGAAGACTTAAAGGAAAACATATAAAATGTGATTGTCATGATACAAATTAACATTTTAATACAAACAGTGAAAACTAATCAATATTAATACCTGAGTCGATACCACGGCAACACATTCATCCTGTCTGATCTCAGCAGTCAGAAGAATACAGGGACTTGTGGTCTTGGTCTCAGGACCTTTTCCTCCTGTCTGTAAGAAAACGTTTGCTGCTTCCTGTACTCGGAACGAATCACAAGAAGAGATGAGTCTTAACGAGCAGCTCTGATTGGATGTTTTAAAGAGGACATTAAATGACTTGAAGGACATCTCAGGCAGGACTGTAAACACTGTGCCTGATATATTAATGATTGTCTGCGATCTTGTTGTTCTAGTTTGTTATTTCATGATCTTTTTATGTATTATAGTCATGAATCTGCTGCTTTATTTGTAAGTATGGCGGCTCGTTGTTTGTCAGAAACTTTGTAACCTGTGCTGAGGCCTCTCTTGGTCAGGACACTCTTAAGAAAAGAAAGATTTGATCAAGGTTTTTCTGGTTAAATCAACAAAATAAAAGCACACATTCTTCATCAATATCATAGCAGGTAAGACGAACACGATACCTGAAATACATTCTTCAAAGGGAGGCATGTTAATGATACATATGATGCCACACAGAGTTATCTTGTGTCACTTCTCAGCAGTAAAGCCCTTCATCAACATCAAAATGGGAATCATCATCATCCTCATCATCACTGCTATCAGTAATGACAGAGTCCTCGTCTTCATGGATCTTACAAACAGCTGGTAATATCTTCAGTGTCATGGCTTTTTTTGTGGTTATCAGTGGATACACATCAGTGTGTAAGTGTGTGTCGGTATCAGGATCACAGAACGTCAACAGGCCTTCATCCAAGTTCAGATTCACTCAGGCCCAGGACTGAGTGGGCGGTGTCAAACCTGTCTGGATTATCTGGAAGTTTCTGTCTCTCTCCGTGTCTCACGCTGGTCAGATCTTCAGACAAGACGAGTTCTGGATGAGCAGAGTATGGATCCAGAATCACAGGAGTGTAGCGGACCTTCTTCTTCATCCTGTACCAGATCTTGTAGGTCAGGTTGCCCAGGTATCCGCCCTCGTTTATCAGAACTCTTGACAACAGCTTTGGCTTGTCCAGCAGGGAGCGCTGTTCCATGTGTTCTTGGAAGTCAGAAATTCCGAGTTGCCGGCCTGTTACGTCACTGGGTGCGCCCGCCTGAAATTGGAATTCTGACTGGGCGGTAAACTCGGAACAACATCAGTAGTCAAAATCCAACATGGCTGCTACGTGCGTCAACAGTAAGGTTTAAGCTGTAACTATTGTGTTTATCGACAACTTAGTCCTCCTTTTGTGTAATTAAATTCACAACGAGAGTATCGTGCAAGTTCTGTTAGACATGCTGTCATTGTATTCTAGGCCTATGTGTTGTTTTATCGCCAGGTATCATGGCCAATGCGGAGGTGCAAAAAAACACATTCGTTGAGTGTACTGCTGCGTTCCATTTACCTCGGAACTCGGAAGTGGGAACTGGGAATGACATCACACCCGAGTAAACTGCGTTCCAGTTGCAAGTCGGAAAAGCATCATGGACGGCTCCAGTGGTGCCTACGTGACACAACACACTACGTGATAGTTTCTGACCGAAAATAATATGAAAACACCTCCACAGAGAGAACTTGCACGATACCATCGGTGTGATTGATTGAATTACAAAGAAAAACGACTAAGCTGCTAATAAACTCAACCGTTACATCTTAAACATCCCTTTAGATGCATGTTGCAGCCATATTGGATCTGAACTCGGGCTACTTTTTTTACTCCGAGTTTCCGAGTCGTAATTACGTAATACGTAATAACACTATTTTCCATTATGTTTGGTACAAAACATTAATGTCACACCACAGAGCACTATGTCTGTGGCCGAGCGGTGTGTAGAAGAGATCATCCTTTTTATCCTGGTGTGTAGCCTATACATAAATACATGAACGGGGAAAAGATACACAGCTTCTTTCGTTTTGTAACAGTTGAAATTGTGGAATGTACTGCTCAGAGCTGGCGCCAGACATTTTGGTGCCCTAGGCAAGGTTAGGATTTAGCGCCCCCCTTTATGATTTGAGTGATATAAAATGATTAGATTAAGTTTTTGTTGTTTCTGTGAGGGGAGTCCGTCCCAAAGCTTGCTGCTGTATTCGTCCCCAACACCTTGAAGAGGAGCAAGCATGCTTCTTCATTCAGCTGTGGGTGGTATGTTAGACAGACTTAGCTCCATAAGTTTGGGCGTGTAGGGAGCGGTTTGAGGAAGACCAGTTGAAACCTGATCGACACACGAAGGAGAGGCAGCTGTCTACACCTCAGAACAACAACTTCCACAGAAGGACACAAGAACGGACATCGGAGAAAAATATTTCAAAGACTGAATGTGGAATTTAAGGCAAAGGAAACTCCAAAAAGAACACAACTTTGTTGAGTAGTAAGTGTCTTAACTTGTTTTCTGCCTCGTGAGTCCAGCGTTAGTCGGGGACAAAATGTCCTCACGGTTAGAGAAGAATCTCTCCTGTGCTTTTTGTTATGACATATACAGAAAACCAGTCCTCCTACCATGCAGCCACAGCTTCTGTGACGACTGTCTGAAGAAGTGGTGGGCAGGGAAACAAACCCGGGAGTGTCCGGTTTGTAAGAGGGAATCTGGAAGAAAACCTCCTCCATCTAATTTAGCATTAAGGAACCTGTGTGAGGCCTTTTTACTGGAGAAGGGTCAAAATGCATCCAGAGGATCACAGGCTCTCTGCAGTCTGCACTCTGAGAAACTCAAACTCTTCTGTCTGGACCATCAGGAGCCTTTTTGTGTCGTCTGTCGAGATTCTAAAGAACACAACGACCACAAATTCAGACCCATCGATGAAGCTGCACAGGATCTCAGAGAGGAGATTCAGAGATCTATGAAAACTCTGCAGAATAAATTGAAGCTCAGCCTACAAGTTAAAATAAACTTTGATCAAACAGCAGATCATATTAAAGTCCAGGCCAGAAACACAGAGAGGCGGATCAAGGAGAAGTTTAAGAAGCTTCACAAGTTTCTACAAGAAGAAGAGGAGGTCAGGATCTCTGCTCTGAGGGAGGAAGAGGAGCAGAAGAGTCAGAGGACGAAGGAGAAGATTGAGTCTCTGAACAGAGCGATAGCAGCTCTGTCAGACACAATCAGAGTCACAGAGGACGAGCTGAGAGCTGATGACGTCTCATTCCTGAAAAACTACAAGGCTGCAGTGAACAGAGTCCAGCAGTGCACCCTGCTGGAGGATCCACATGAGGTCTCAGGAGCTCTGATCGACGAGGCCAAACACCTGGGAAACCTGACCCACAACATCTGGAACAAGATGAAGGAGATGGTCTCTTACAGTTCTGTGATTCTGGATCCAAACTCTGCTCATCCAAAACTCGTTCTGTCTGAAGATCTGACTAGTGTGAGACATGGAGAGGCACAGAAGCTTCCAGATAATCCAGAGAGGTTTGATGAGAATCGATTGGTCTTGGGCTCTGAGGGATTGGACTCAGGGAGTCACATCTGGGTGGTTGAGGTTGGAGACTGTCCTCGGTGGTTTGTTGGTGTGGCAGCAGAGTCTTTCCAAAGAAAAGGAAGCACAGTAATGAGATATGGGTCATGGACATTAGCGTACGCTGACTGTAAATACTTCATAATCTCCCCACTGAATCCTGCTGCTGTCATCCCGGTGAAGAAGAAACTGCGTCTGGTCCGAGTGAATCTGGACTTTGATGAAGGCCGGTTGTCATTCTCTGATCCTGATACCGACACACACTTACACACCTTCACACACACCTTCACTGAAAAGATGTATCCACTGATTACCTCTGTGCACGCCCTCCCACTGAAGATATTACCAGAAGGTTCTTATGAGAATGAAGGAGAAGAAGAAGGAGAAGAAGAAGAAGAAGAAGGAGAAGGAGAAGAAGAAGGAGAAGAAGAAGAAGGAGAAGAAGAAGAAGGAGAAGAAGAAGGAGAAGGAGAAGAAGGAGAAGGAGAAGAAGAAGAAGGAGAAGAAGAAGGAGAAGAAGGAGAAGAAGAAGAAGGAGAAGAAGGAGAAGGAGAAGAAGAAGAAGGAGAAGAAGTAGAAGAAGGAGAAGAAGAAGAAGAAGGAGAAGAAGGAGAAGGAGAAGGAGAAGAAGGAGAAGAAGGAGAAGGAGAAGAAGAAGAAGAGAAGGAGAAGAAGAAGGAGAAGAAGAAGAAGGAGAAGAAGAAGGAGAAGAAGAAAAAGCTGTAAATGAGGATAATAATTCTTCCAATACTGAAAACGATGATGATGAAAATTCTGATACAGTTGAAGATGACAAGATAAAAATAATGATGTTGATGATACTGATGATGATGACAATAAGGTTAACTCCTATTTAATTTGGTGAGCATTCGAGCTCTGAAATAATGTGCTCCCCATCTATGTTGGATAGTGATCAGTAATCACTCATATTAGTAACAAAACAGACATATCATGCATCTGATGCAAACTTTGTACACATAGTGAAGCTGCTTTGTACTCTTTCTAATGTAAATAAGTTCTTTGCCACTCTGTGGTTAATACTGTGCATACGTTCAGTTACACGTCGCTCTGATAGAAAGACCATCACAGCTTCAGACTTCGTCCTCCACCCAACCCGACGTTTACATAATTCAAGGATCAAAATGTTTGTGTTTCTTTACATTTCCTTGGGTCACTTACAGATGTCAAATGTTTTCCTTCTCAAGTCTTTAAAAACACTAACACTAATGCTATTATTTTATACATCATCATATGAATTGTTACTTTATTTGATGTTCTTTTTATTGATATATCTTTATGTCCGCATGAATTGCCTTTGTATGAAATGTGTTTCATTAATAAACTCACGGCAGTTGTTGCCTCTGGCCAGCAGGTGTCACTGTTGTCTCTAGAAACACAACATGTAGCTCTCAGGAGGAATTTAGACTCAACGTTTGTCCTTTGCTTTTTTAAATGATGCTCACCGTTCACCAAAAGTAAACAGACCTGACTTCATTTAGAAACTTTTGGCTCATAATAACCGTCCTGAATTCAAACTCAATTACAACAACCTCTTATTTAGAAAACACTTTAGCAGCTGTGGCTCAGCTGGTAGAGTCGGTCATCTCTCGACTAAAAGGTTGGGGGTTTGATCCCCAGCTCCTGCAGCCACATGTCAGATGTGACCTTGAGCAGGATACTTAACCCATGCAAGTTTCTCCCACTGCTTCGTCAGTGGTGTATGAATGTATATGAATGGGATTACTTCTGATGGACTCTTTACACAGCAGCCTCTGCCATCAGTGTGTGAATGTGTAGGTGTGACCTGCGGTGAAAAAGCCAGTAGTAGTCAGAAGACTAGAAAATAAATATACAAGCTCAACAAATAAAGACATAGAAGAGAAGTGTAAACAGGGTTTGAGGATTTTTATTGATCACTATTTTCATTGTCAGTAACGAGCTATGAGCTGTTTTTCTTCTGTGTGTGTGTGTGTGTGTGTGTGTGTGTGTGTGTGTGTGTGTGATGATGATGATGTCACTGACATGGACGATCTGTAATTAAATCACTGACTGAACCACATCTCGGTTTATAAATAGAACAAAATTAAGGATTTGTTTTTCTTATTATGTTTGATTTTTGCCATAACATTCTGCACGGTCACTTTTGGTCTCCATGGAAACCAGGCCTGTGTTGGTTGGGTACCTCCTGTGATTCAGCAAAACACACTCACACACACACACACACTAACACTGATGAGACCAGGAGGAAGGCTGTCGGAGATGTGACTCAGCCTGTTGCCGGGTGAATCAGTGAAACACACGGTGACACACAATTACACACACACACATACAGAAACTGCAAATGTGTGTGTTTATTATGGGCTGGTTGCTATGTAATTAAAGTGATGAGAGTGTGAGCCGCCTGTGTGTTTGTTCAGTTTAAGGAGTGTAAATACAGAAGAGATATATTTAACATATACTATATGTAAGATTTGGCTCATGTCACTCTTCCAAGTTTGTGAATTTTTACAAAAAATAAAGAAGCAAAACGTTTCTGCTGGACCAAAATCAACCAGCTGACATCAGAGGGAACTATTTTATAAGACACATAAAACAAAAACATGTGCAAAGAGCAGTAAATTGCAGGGTGTTTTTTTTTTTAATTACAGGTTGAAATATATCAAGAAAACACTAAAGATATGAATAGTTTATGATAAAATGAGGATGAAAAAAAGTTACAGTGCAATGGCAATAGTGAGACATTATAGACCTTCAAAATAAAACCGAAAATATGAAGACACTTGGGCAAAAAGTGTCACCTAGAGTTTCACCTTAACCTAAAGGCGACACCTGCTGGAACAATTTGTGTTTGCACTTCATGGCTCCTACACCCTCAGACTCAATAAACAGTCGGGGGAACTTTTAATGAGCTTTTATTGATGCACCATGGAGAGCATCCTGACTTCCTGTTGCACAGTCTGGTACTCCAGCAGCCCCCCCAGCAGACAGGAAAGACCCGCAGCAGTGGGTGAAGACAGACCAGTGGATCATCGGCTCCACACAGCTCAACCTGGACAGGCAGCAAAGTGCATGGATAGATCTACAAAAGTAATTAATCTCCATATCTGATAGATTTGTTTAAAAAAAAAAAAAATGTAAGTTTCATTTATTTAAGTTTGTTTATATCCCGTTGATGTGAGTGTGTGTTCTCTTCACTTTTGTCACTTTTCATTAAAGTTTAGTTCACTATGTTTTCTTCTCTTTGAATCAAGCCGTCCTCTTTCTGTAGCTCCGCCCCGCCCGACTGCCCCGTCTCCGCAACACAACCCACCTCCACCATCCACTGACACGCAGCAGCGTCAAGCCGGCGGAATTTAGCGTCAACCGGAAGTCTTATGGTGCACTGAAGTGAAGCTGAAATACAGCAAAAGAAAAAGACAATAATGTAGCATTGGTTGACGAGTTTATGATGCTAACTATATGAGCGTATACATACACCTCATTGCTGCATTATATTAGTATGCTGTAAAATAAACAACATGCATAGACCACGTGTTTTGTATTTTCTTTCTTTATGTCACAGCTGTGATTAATGTAAAACAGGTCTTGATCATGCTCTCAGATTCTTTGGATATTTTTTGGGATTTATGTAAACCTGCAGATATTTGAAAATGAATCTCCAGAAATGAGTAAACACAGATTTCAATGTTGTCTCATTTTTTATTTTAGGAATTGAAGCCTGAAGGTGTCAGTGATTGTAGTCTGACATGTCAGGTGTAGCCGAAGTTATAGTGACAGGTTTTATGTAGTTTTGGTTAATTGTTCTCTTAATTTAGTAAGTTGGTTGATCGTTTACACAATAAAGTTTGTTATCACTACTGCAAAAAAGTGTTCCTCAGTATTACAACGAACCTGGGCTGCCCGCTTGGAGGACTAGAGCCGGGCGCGACAATTAGGCCATCTGCACCCCTGGAAATAAAGGGTTTCAAGCAATGATACTGAATGCGTATCATGAATACATAACTTGATTCGTCTGAATGCAACTATGATGTAGCCGCCTGCATGTATACTACATTTGTTCTCTTTCCTAAAGCTTGTTTTTTTTTGTGTCTGATGTGTAAATATGTATCTTATTACATTTCTAGTCACCTCCACATTGCTTATGTGACCTCAGTGTTATTATTCTTCATTCATCTCTGGAGCTGCTCATGTTGGTTGTAAGCCATTTATGTAAATTGTTGTAAATAAATAAAAATACAACACACATGTAAATATATATCTTATATTAACTAGCTAATCACCTCTACATTGCTTACAAAGACATCAGAAGAAATACACTTTCTGATAGTTTGATGTAACCGCTTTATTTTGAAACATCTGGCCGGATGTGAGGCTTGTCACTGGGTCCGGCTTTTTGCGGCGCTCAGGTTTACATTCACTCAGCATTCGCGTGACACTGGAATAATCGGAAAAAACAACTTCCTACTTGGAAAAATATCTTTAATGGCATTTTAAGATTAAATGAAAACTCAGAAGGTCCGGGATAGTTGGTACACGACTTTGACTGACTTTAACATACGACGCAGAACAATAAAAAAACAAAATAAACTGCTAAATTAAACGTAAAATAATCTTAATTCATATATTGCATATACTTTTTTTTAATTGTATTTGAAATCAGGTGTATTACGTTACTTTCTGAGTATGTGTTTCTCTTCACGTAGAGCGACTTTTGTTAGTTCTAGTTAAATAAAATATTTATATTTTTATTTGTAGCTTCAATTTTTTTTCCCACTTGAAGCTCGTAAACACGTTGAAGTCGGAAGAACGACATCCCAACTTTGGGTAAACCTAACCGTCCGATGAGTACGTGAACGCAGCATCATTCACTTCAGGTTAGGACTCCCGTTGGCTGTTGGAGGAGTAACCGGAGGAAAGCGGCGGCTCGGTCGTCCAAAACTCGGGAGAAAACAACGTGAAATCAGACGTGTTCGTCTCCGGAAAAACCAAACTAGTGGCGGATTTACCTGGAGCCTGACATCGGATAAGAACGGTATCGATCTTTTTAGTCGACCTGATTGATCGCGGAGTGTGTGTGTTGTCGTTTGGAGAGCAAACACACACACACACACACACACACACACAGTCACAGTCACAGGTTGCTAGCGGAGTAAGCTAGCTGCGGTTAGCTGTGTTTTCCCTCTACCGGCCGGGGCTCAACTTTTTTTCTTTTTTTAAAAAACCCTCTCAGACATTTTCCAGACAGTCTGCTCTGTGATTCAGGCATGATGTGGTGTTTTTTCGGAGGTGTATCAAGTTGGCCGGCTGGTAGTATCGGCTGACTAAAAGCCTCAAATTGTCGACCTGGATTTTTTTTTTTTTTTTTTAAACTCCTGTGTGATTTTTTTTTTTCTTCTTCAGTTTTTTGGATTTTTTTTTTTTTAAAAAAGGTGAACTTTGCCCTCTGGGTGTTGTAACTCTCTCTCCCTTATAACATCAATAGAAAAAAAAGGGGCCACCTTGGAGTATTTCAGAACTTGTTGGGAAGTTTTGTTGCTGGAGGTAAAAAAAAAAAAAAAAAAAAAAAAAAAAAGTTTGGGAAGTTCAGGAGGATTTTTTTCCGAGCCTGTGGAAAAATGGATGCGGGTATAGAGAAGGAATGCAGCGCCTTGGGAGGGCTCTTCCAGCTCATCATGAACGACATGAAGGTAAGAAAATACAACTAAATGAACCTTTCTATTCCCTCTAGATTACCTAATCATGTCCTTTGTCATGTCATTGATTTAATAGCTTTATTGTTTGCTGCTGCGTTTGCGTTGAGACGCTGAAGTCTCTGCGATGCATATTCAGGATATCTTCTTATTCGGCCCGTTTTAGAATCATTTCTTCACGTAATATCAGCTCAATTCAAAAGGCTTCACAAGCATGGGAAGCCAACGATTGCATTTCTAAAGCTAAACTCAAAATAAAACACGAAATGAAGGAGTGACACAGATAAGAGTGACAGAGCTGTGCAGGATCACGGTTTTCTATAAAGTGTCTACACACACAGTTTGTGTTTCAGTTAAAATTACAAGCTGATAATGTTCAAATACATACAGATGAATACAGATGGTTTACAAAACGATACAGTCACAATAAAGAAATGTAACGAGAATGTGGGTTTAATGTTTTTTAAAGAAATACAAGTACATTTACATCTGTATGGTGTTTGTGTGTATCAACCAGAGGTGGGGAAATATGGCTACAGCACAATAAGGCTGAGCGATATGAGCTCAAATCAATATCACGATTAATTGAACATTTTACCTCGATTACGATTATTGAACGATTATTTGTTTTTACTTTTAATATGCTCAAATATTAAAGCTGAGGTATTTTTCTCATGTAAGAGTGCGCATCTGATGAACTATTTTGAGGTTATTTATTGAATATTTTCAACTGAAGTCAAAGCTTCGCTAGAAATGAAAACAACACATTTCAGTTTTTTCTGTTTAAGATTTATTTTTGGGCTTTTGTGCCTTTAATGGAGAGATAGGACCGTGGATAGAGATGGAAATCTGAGAGAGAGAGTGAGTGAGGAATGACATGCGGAAAAGGAGCCACAGGCCGGATTCAAACCTGGGCCGCCCGCTTTGGAGGACCAGCCACCAGCGCCCCCACATTTTAGTCAGGGCATCTGCTGATTCCCACCCCGAGTAATATACAGAGATAATTAGACTGTGTTCTTCATGGTTTTGGTGAGCTGTTTTGGTATTTAGCCGACTGATGACATTGGAACAACGGCCCTGCGTTAGTATAAACTGTTAATGAGTATTTCATTCTTAAATGAAGTCATGAATGTATACAGAGCTAAATCTGAGGCTTTTCTGCAAACTATTAGTGCATTCACACTTGCAGAAATATCCTGAAAAACAACTGATAATTGCAGAAGGAGGTGACGTGTGAACGCAAACAGCCGGATATTATCAGGAGAATTCACCTGGAACCATATGTTGTCTGCACGTGACCTCTACGATCTCTGTGCACGTACTCAAACTGCTGCGTTACGTTTTCTATTCTTCGCCGCTTGTCAAACAACACTTAGCGTTGTTGAAAGTAAAAATTCTCATGATAGCGTCGTATAGCGGACTATTTTGCTTCGCCTTATCCCGTCACGTCTCACCACAGGAGACCCGTCCCCCCCCCCCCCCCCCTGTCTGACAGGGATAGTCTCCCACTGTAAGGTGCATGTGTGAACAACCAGATCAGGAAGATTCCAGGGCCGGTCCTCCTGAAATTCAGGAGTGCATGTCAGTTTATGACAAACTGATAAGCACTCCTGTTCTTCTTGTCTGGCACTACCCCCCCTCACTTCCTCATTCAGCGCTACAACGAAGTTTAAAAAAAAACAAAAAAACGTGGCCACATTTAAAATGAAGCTTTGTGAGTTAGCTTGAGACACTTAGCACGGCTTGACATGTGGATTATTTCTGCCTGGATTTAGAATGAGTGGATGTGAGTGCTGCTCATGTTGATTGGGTAATGAATGAGCAGAGGTTAAAACTGGAAGTGGGCCATCAGAGAGAGAGAGAGAGAGAGAGAGAGAGAGAGAGAGAGAGGGAGAGGAGCAGGGCTGGATGGGGGTGGATTTTACCAGCTGTGAGTGTGTGTGTGTGTGTGTGTGAGTGTGTGTGTGTGTGTGTGTGTGCGTGCGCTCTTTGATGTTTGTTAAGCAGGCTGCCCTTTGCTGCCTGTCTGTCTGTTTCACTGCTCTCAGATGTTCATCGTTAGCAGCTTCTATTTTCTATTTGGCCCTCAACAACTCCTGTCTTTGTCAGCAATAGGCAGGAGGGGGTTGTTGTGTGACGGGAGTTGTACCTCTCTTACACTGGAATCAGTGGTTTGTCATGGGGAACGAGCGAAGTTAAGAAAGAGAAGCTTATAGAGTCACTTTTATGGGACCTTTTTGAGACATGTACCAGTTCAGCAGCCCCCTGTTTATAAGAGATGTCCAAAAGGGGAGAATTGAACTTGACAATGAATCACACAAAGCCTTTAAAAACAAACGGCTCCGCTCTGATTTTATGCAAAGTTAGAGCTTATAAATGTCCCTAATGTAAAAAAACAAACAAAAACAAAGGTGTTCACATTGTTGGAAATCACCTTGCTATAATTGAGCAGTTTCAGTCGTCTAATAAGAGGAACCAAAACCACAAGAATCTAAATAATTCATGCATAAAAAAGAGGATGCTCTAACGGTTAAACCATCTGTGACTGATATGAACAAGCTCACCGTCTTCTGTACGTACAGAATCAAAGTGTCAGCTCCGCACAGCTGCAGAAAATCAGCAGGCCAGAGGAGCACGAGTCGGATGTCATTGATCACATGATGAGGGTTAAGAGAGCTGACCCCGAGTCCTGTAAACAGACAGCTGACAGATAAGACTGTGGCTGAGGATCGACTGCTGAAGGTCGCTGAGCATTCACAGAGAGTCTGGGCAGACGAATCCAAACTTCTTAAACACTGCAGAAGGCAAAGTCAACCGCTTCCCCTGGTCCACAGTGTCCATGTTTTCTGATTTTAAGTCACGCCGTCCCAGGCGTTTGCAAAGAGTTCAAAATATTGATCTCCCCATTGGATGAAGACCTCCTGGATACAATATTCATGCTTTCACTTTTTTCATGCAGATAAATAAAGCTTGTGTTACTTTTCAGCTACCTGCAGGTTAATGGGGGGGGGGGGGCGGACTCAGGGGTGGGAAAAAAAAAAGCTTTTTAGATTCCTGTTGGATTCAAGAGAGATCCAGGAGTTTACAACATGAAGACAAGCAGATAGACAATAATAATAGTGTCGTAAAGTGCCAAAGCTTTAAAATAAAAGTGATGTGGTCATATTCCTAACTAAAAGCTGCCAGAGATCAGAAAGAGAGATAGAGCCGCGGTGGTCTGTTTAGATTCTCAGGCGCTGACAAGCTGACAAGCTATCAGATGAACCATCCCTCCACACGTATGTTCAACCAGACGAACCCATCGGCCGGGGGAATTCAGTTAGCTGAGAATTAGAGACATGTCCCTAATGTCTCAACTCAAGTCCACGCTCAAGGCTGTATTAAAAAAAAAACAACTCTGATATCCACCAAACACGTTTCACCCTTTTCTTCTTCTTTGGCAGCAGCGGACTGATTCACAGAGATGCACCATCCACTTTTTCCAGGTCTGACCTGATTCTGATAGAAATGTACTGATATGGTTCTGATTCTGATCTTTTGGCAGACAGGATTAATAGTTTTATTGTTGTTGGTATTCTGTGTAAGGCTACACAACGCTGTGTGCTGGCTTCACAAACAGGAAGCGGTATTTTGTACTTTTGATCACACAGAAGAGTTCCTCCCTCATCCCATCAGGTCTGCACCCTCTGTTGACTCTTTTAAGTCTAAAGACATGCTTTTATATTTTAGCATTTGAGTCCTCTGGTCCTGAATAGACCATTTCTCTCAGGTTCCTTTGGTGCTTTCTTTATATATTCTTTCTTTATATATGTATGTATACATGTATATTTCTCTCTTTCCTGTGGATGTTGTGATCTCAAGTTGTTTTTTTTTATGTATTGTACAGCACTTTGGACAGCTGTTGCTGTTTTTAAATGTGCTTTATAAATAAATATGACTTGACCTAACTTCCATCTCGTCTGAACGTCGTCATGGAGACGATTCGTGAACACTTCTTACAGTTCAGTCTGATCGCTTCGACGTGAGACTGTGCGAGCTGAGAACGTTTAAAGTGCCAGACCATCTTACTTGATATGTGACGTGGATCTGTGCCGTGAGTCTGATATCCGATACGTGAATTACACCAATATCAGACCTGATGCAGATATTAGAGCAGACCTGTCCCATCTTTACCAATTACTATACAGCGACACCACCCCATCAGTGTGATTCTGTAATTGCTGTTAGTGATGATAAATCTCCAAGCGCTGTCCTCTGAAGAAATGTTCTTAATGAAAACAGACTTTGACCAGGGTGATACTAAGGCGGAGTTTTTTATATGGAGGACAAACGCGACCATGGTTTCAAAACTGTTATCAACATCATTTATTTTTAGTAGTATCATATCAAAGTGTAAAAGCTGGTGACAACCCTTCACTCTTTGATGATTCTTTATTTATTGCACCTCGTGTTATTAGCATATTTCTCTCATATTGTCGAGGCCTGTTCGTCTTTAGGAAGCTGGTGAACTCAGGTCGTGTACTGCACACGTCGTCTTTTATTTTGTAAAGACTTTGAGACTATCAAACCACAGACGATGATTGAGCATTGTGAAGCACGGCTTGATTATGTAAGAGAGGATGTTGTTCCTTTTTTATCTGAGCTGATTCTTGATGATGTTAAGACGACAGACGTCAGCCTGGAAGTGTTCTGGTTTGATCTCAGCTCGGATTCAGACGGACAGGAAGCACTAGCGCTGCGGTTTGATCTGCATCTGATGCAGGATTTTAAGGGAAATGAGTTGAGTTTGTGCCTGAAGTTTAAAACCTTTAGGATGAAACGTGACAGGGCTTTTAGACATCCTGTGGTTTGAACACATGAGTCACTTCTGCTGTCAGATAACCGAGGAGAGGGACGGTCAGGGCGGATCGCGTGTGTGTGATTCAGAGCTGGTGGTATCATATCCTGGTACTTTACCAACATGGCACAAAACCAGCGGGGGCACTCCTGCCATCTGC